GTGTCTTTACACATCAATGTATCGTCACGAGCCGCAGGGTTTAATTTGGATTTGTCTGTGCATGTTTTTTTTACTCTCATAGATTTTGTTACCATTGCCATGCATTATACGACTGATAGACTGCAACGGTTAAAGTGAAAAATCATCATATGTGTTCTACTGAAGAAACAAAGTCACCTGCATCTTGGATGCCCTTGGGGGTAAGCAGATAAACATCAAATTTTCATTTTTGGGTGAACTATCCCTTTAAGGGTGTGTTTGATGTCCGGGCTTAAATTCTATTCAAATTCAATGGAAGCGTGTTGCTGGAGAGAGCGCTTTCAATAATCAGTGTTGAAGTGTTTATCTACTGATGTCTTTTTAAAATGCTCTATTTGCTTGATCAGTCTTACTGTGACGGTCAACAAATGTACAATTATATTTATTAACACGAACAATCAAAGTAATTCAAATGTGAAAGTGGACATTGCTAACTCTATATAGTGATGCTCAAAAAGACCTAGCATTTGAACTTGTTGATATTGTATTCAGACTATTGCTGGTGAATGTCTGTTATCTGCAGAGCAACTGCATCTCTGTCTTATCTAAACATTTGTAAGGTATATTATAATGTTTTTCGCATCTTATATGCACAGCTTAATAACGTGTGTTCAGATTTACTAAACCAGTTAGATTTTTATTAGTAAAACTGTATGAGCTTAGTCAGATTTGTCAAATATTGCTTCTTGATTCTTAGTATTTATTTTGTAAAGCAAGAATGTTGATGACTGCATGCACGATTTTGATGTTGTTTGATTCATTTTATCAAATATTTTGCCATGGCTGTATAAAAGCTGCTGTTCATCCAGTTGGATCGTCAACAGACAACAAACTGTAATCTTTACTATTCTTTTTCTGGTTATATCTAAACACTTTTAGGCTACTTGTGGCACATTTGACAAAGATCCATTCTTAATATTGAATTATAATTCAATTGTCATTACAGAACCAAAGTTTTCCTCTTCATTTTCTCATTAATCAACTCTTTAGAAAGACATTTAGAATTGAAAGAAATAAAATGCATGGAAACCTTTTCTATGTCTTCTAGTAACGTGGTTCATTGTAAACGGCTACTGAAAGAGAGTTGCTTTGTGGCCTCTTTGATGTTTTTGTCTTCTTTATCGTTTCAGCACAGTTTATGAAAGGCCTAAGAGCATCTTTTGATCGTTTTTGACGTATATACTGTGTTTTGTTGAGGCATGCTGTTTTTATTGTCAAAAAGTGGGTGGGTACGATATTGTTTTCTGAGTAAAATGTACTTTTTGCAGTTTGGCTCTAATGCAACCGGGCTTATAAATAAAAGTGCTTTACAAAGTGTTGTAGCTGTCATTGTGTATTTGTTGCCGATGATCTTAAAAAGTCTCGGTTGGTGACACGTTTTGAGGAGTGTATGTTGCTATTAAAGTCAGCATGAAACGGGGTTACACTAGTGATGGGAGACACAAAGCTTTTTAATTTCAGTGAAATTAATGTAGGCTACTATATTTTATTTCAATAATGTCTTTTATTGAATATTTTGTATCTGTAGAGGATTTATGGTACTAAATTATATTTATGGAATAGATATAATCCATTTATTACCTGTTAATCACGTTTTGAGCATAGACCTGTAAATCTTGAATGCTTTTCAGCACAGACTTAAGTTCGGTCTCTTTTTAAAGAAGACACTTGATAGATTATTGCTGAAATAAGTTTTAAAAAAATGTGAAGAAGAAAAAAGTTCTAGAAGTTTAGTTTTCTTATTATGAAGAATGCACACAAAATTTTAATAAAAAATATATTTTCCAAAACATGTTTTACTCTAAAGCTCTAGCCATAATGTAAATCTAATCTAGTTGTGTTCCAAATTTGAGGTTGATATCGCAAAAAAATAGCTTTCAGTGAAATTTTGTTTCCTTGACATGCCTAGTTCTGAATATAGCTGTATATAGCACATCTTTACATACAGTATACTCTTTACTGTCACTTTGTCTATTGTTTTTTACAGATTTATTTTTACTCACTAATTTTTATTTTGTTATCTGTGTCTTGTCACTTGTCAACCTGTGTACTGGAAGCTTCTGTCACCAAGACAAATTCCTTGTGTGTGTGTGTAAGCACACTTGGCAATAAAGCTCTTTCTGATTCTGATGTACCAATGCAGTTTAGGAACAGTGCCACCTACTGGTTAGGAAATATGAAAAACATCTTTTTGCTCATCTTAATAACTTGGTATAAAATCAAGAAACTTGTCTCTTTTTTTAATAGTACTATATTGGTATTCTTTGTTTTAATATAATACCAAGAATTAAATATTTTAAGTGTGGCTTAAATGTCATTGCACATGTCATGGAATGCATTTACATCTAAGAAGGCTTTTACTTTTGTTGTATTGAGCTATGCATGTTATAAAGGCTACAACAGTTTGAGGCTAGTTTTTTGCCTATTTTATTGCACATCATAATGGACAGCTTTTTCAAGAGAAAATTCGAAGATAGCCACTGAGATTATACGTGTGTGTGTGTGTGTGTGCTAAATTGGCTGAAGTAATTGACAATTACCTTTTTTTTAAAAGCAGATTTTTATACACAGTAGTAATACTTAATACCTACATTATTTTCAATCTATCAGGATGAAAAATAATGTAAGACTGTTCCCCAGCACCACCCTACAAAAAATAAGTAATATTAGAGGATGTTGATGAGAATGGGTACATTTTTAAAGGTGGATTATTCAAAACTTAACATAAGTTAATACATCACTTTGGCAACTTATATAAAGCAACATGGGTTTTCAAAGGAATGGACATCACACAGTCCTCATGAGCCTGGATTGGTGCAGTTGTTGATTTGTTCTGGGTTCAGGCTCCGAGCTTCAGCGATGAGACGCTTGACTCCCACCATCCACTGACTGACTTCAGCAACATGATCCACCATCAGGCCTCTGTGGATCTCATCAGCTGCATCCCAGTTTTTTCTTTTCAGGTCTGAAACAAAACACATCTAGCATGTTTTTCCTTCTGTCAACTTTTATCAAGATGGACCACAGCAGTCTAAACAAATTAAAGGGTTAGTTCACCCAAAAATGAAAATTCTGTCATTAATTACTCACCCTCATGTCGTTCTAAACCCGTAAGACCTCCGTTCATCTTCGGAACACAAATTAAGATATTTTTGATGAATTCTGAGAGCTCTCTGACCCTCCCATAGACAGCCATGTAATTACCACGATCCAAGCTGCGTCACGCGACGTTTTTGCACGTCATGCGTTACGTTTTCCACATTGTTTACTAGGGCTGTCAAAAAAAAATTTTGAATTTCGAATATTCGTTGAATAAAAAAAATAAATTAAAAATCCATTCGAATGCAAAAACGTTGCATTCAGCCTTATCAGTGGCGTGCAGCTTTATCAGTGGCGCACGAAATGCGATGACGATGTAAGTGTCATTGATTGCATTTTAATTCTTTTGTTAGCCTATCCAGTTGAAGCTTGAGTAACCTCTCATATGTGTAAATATCAAGAACATTGTCATTCTCCATTTCATGACTCCTTTAAAAACTTCTTTTGCAATTCCTTACGACAGAACCAGTGCGTGAAGGTGAAACTCTGAAGACTGAAAAAGACTCACCTTGGGACAATCTATGCATCCTGTGTTTGACCAAAGGAGAAAGATTTCCACTTCTCCACATGTCCTCAAAAAGCTTCAGACGTCTTTCCACATCATCACAAATTTGTTTCTAAAAAAATCAGTGACAACACAAGGTAACAACAGGAACATGAATTTCCATTTCTCCACTCTAGCAAGTAAAAATAAATATAATGGCAAAAAAAAAAAATTCTAATAACTATAATATTCTTTATAGGGTTTGGAATTTTACAAGGTGTGAGATTTTTTTTTTCCTTGTAACAACTTTAAATATTTGTTGTATGTTATGTGATTGATCCATTAGTTCCATTTAGTGTTATTTTATTATCATTGAGATACTATTATAGCTTTTGAAATCATTTTAAGTTTATATTTTCTGCTTTTATTAATTTTAGTTAAAATCTTAGTAAATCTATAGTGTGTTTTTGTCATTTTTATTAGTCTTTGTTGTTTTTAAATATAACTTATTATACAGATGTATTTTCTTTTTTTGTTTTTTTTAG